AAAAATATTTCTAACAGTTATGTTTCTTAAACCTCTTTAATTTGATACCCATATTGTAATATTTCAGTTATTTTATCAATGTAATTTAGTTAAATTGTCAAGCAGGTGACAACCCTCCTCAAACATATTTTCGGCTGCAAGACTTCTTAAAATTCGTTAGTTTGACACCCACATGGCATTATTTCATTTATTTTTTCAATTTGACTGATTTAAAATTTTCAAGTAGGTGGCAACCCTCCTCAAAAATATTTCTAGCCGTCATCTTTCTTAAACCTCTTTAATTTGATACCTATATTGTAATAGGTAATTTATCTTATCTTTAAATTGAGTTAAATTTTCAACCAGGTGGCAACCCTCCTCAAACATATTTTCGGCTGTAAGCCTTTGTAAACGTCTTTAGGTTGATACCCACATTGCAATATTTCTTTTAATAATATAACTGAGTTAAAAATTTTAAATAGGTGGCAACCCTCGTCAAAGATATTTCCATCAGTTAACTTTCTTAAACCTCTTTAACCTAATACTCTTATTGTAATAACTTGTTAATTTTATCAATATATTTGGGTTTAAAAAGTTTCAAATAGGTGGCAACCCTCCAATTTTTTGCGATATCATTGGTTCTGGTATTATACTGAACAATACAAAAAAAAAATTATTCAAATCGGTTCAGCCGTTCTCGAGTTTTGACGACCGTGACATACGAACACAACATTTTTATTAATATAGATAAAAGATAAATATTAAAGTTGCATTAAAAATATGTTCTCAATTAGTGTTTTCAATTTCGTTTATATTTTCGAAAACTGCATTTATTGAACAAAATATTTCTGAAAAAAAATTTGTTAGATCTTTTTTGTTTATTACTAACAGCAACATTTGTCACAGCTCGCACGCATCGTGAACCAAGCACGCTCACCGCCTAAGCGCACAACGTGTTCACTAGGAAGCGCGAACAGTGGAAACTAATAATTGGCTCATGTTTGCGACTTCTGACGTAACCTAATATAATAATGATGGCATTTCTGGTACTTTTAAGTGGTTTATAGGTTAAGTTTGCATTGAGGTTCTACGCCGACTCCTTCTATTTTTTCAAAAAATGTATGGGGCTGACTACTGTGCGACGTCGACCACTTGAACAATCACAATTTATTAGAAACAAATTTTACAAACTTTATGGTTCTAGCGCAGAGGCGGGCATTTTTTGATTTTCCAAACACATGTAATTGGGCTTCAAAATGCTGCTTGCTGCGATGTCGACACATGTGTACTATCCAAGAATGATAGAATACAAGATTGCGCCGATTGCAGCAGAATTCGTGAGAGTAATTTAAGAGTGACGTCACCGTAGAGTTAACAACTGAGAGCGGCAAATAAAACTGCTGTCTAGTGATGTGCTGAATTGTCGGTACCCAATACTTAAAACGGCCTCGGTACCCAATACTTCCTTATCGGTACCCGATACTGATTCTTTACATTAAACCTTCGCCATTATACGCATTTCAAGTTTAGAAAAAACTTTCATTACTAGTTTATATGATATCGGCTAAAACACTTGAACTTATCGCAACAGAGAAATATTATTTTATCAGTTTTAACCCTAGTCGATCCAAGGTTCAAGAAAAACACTTTGACGGATGAAGAAGGCTTTCAGTGGGGGCGAGATTCTGTAACCAGTTAGCGACAAGTTTCGTCAACAAAACCGATACCGATTCGAAAATTGTCGCTAACTGGTTACAGAATATGTCGCTAACTGGTTACAGAGTCTGCCTACAGAAATGATATCGTCCGATTCAGCTGGAACAAAAATGCTTCAAATAAGTAAGAGTTTCTTTGTATTATGGCCTCGAACCGACATATATACATCTTTCATTTGAATTTGTATTAAAAGCTCTATTGGCTCCTATATTCGGGTTTTGATAGGCGAGTCTCCCTTGAACCGTTTTTCCATATTTTTGGCCTATGTGCGCTTTTATTCGAAACCTAAATGTTTCGGTACCGAGTATCGAGAGTATTGGATACTTGAAAAGTATATACTCAGCACATCACTACTGCTTTCACATCGACTGTGATGTCAGCAAAACAGCTGATTCTGTCAAATTCACTGAGAGCCAATTAGCGGTATCGCCATCGGCGCCAACTTCTGTATTCTCTCCACCGTGTATACTATCATCGTCTTCGTATGTCTTACGATAATTGACGATCGACTGATGCTTCGCTGGTACTTCGGCAAAGCAAATCAAATCAGTTGCTGTTGACAGTGTTCGGTCTCCAAAGTTTTTTTAGTGGTAAATAAGCATGAAAAATTGTAGTACATTCCAAAACAATGTGGTAGATTCGAATAAATAAATTTATAAATATATTATATGCACTTAAGTATGGCCAGTTAACTAAGTTAAGTGACAGTTTGACCGATTTTGTCTTTTGTTTATTTAATGTTTATGTTTTTTTGCTGACGGTGCTAAACATTTTCTTCCATACAAAAGAACTTGTCAATAATTAAAAAACAACGCGATTTCCTAGCGTCTTGAAATTTGCACTTTTAGTTACTAAAATTGAATGGGATGTAAAATTGCATTCCTAAATTTTTCTAGAAATTCTAAATAAAAACTTTAAAATTTTTGGTTGTAACTGTTAAAGTTTGTTGAATTTTTAGAGTTTTTGTACGAAGTTGAAATGTGGATTTATGTGGTGCTGGTTAAGTAATTTGCTAGACTTTTATGAAAAAGTTATAAACATTAAATAGAAAAAAGAAAAATAGCCAAAACTGGTTAAAACGTCACTTAACTTAATCTGCTGAACCCGAGTGTATGTGCATACATATATGATTTTCGGAGGTGACTCGGGTGCGAAGCAGAGAAATTCGAATGAAAATTTGTATACTAAATATGAACATTAGACTGCATCACCAGAAAAAGTTGCGGTTTTTCCGCCGGGATTACAAAATTT